GGAGTCTCACTCTGTCACCCAGACTGGAGTGCAGTAGCCGCTCCCAGCCACCGCAGCCTTGACCTACTAGGCTCCGGCGATCCTTCTGCCTCAGCCATCCAGGTAGCTGGAACTACAGGCGCATGCTACCACGCCCGGCTCATTTTGATTTATTGTAGAGATGAGGTCTCATCAAGTTGCCCTGCTGGGTCTTGAACCCGCGGCTCAGGCAATCCACTCACCTCAGCCTCCCAAAGGTGTGGGATTACAGGCTGAGCCACTGAGCCTGGCTTAAAGTTTTACCTGTGGTGTAGATGTGATTTGTTTTTATTGCCAACTAGTATTCCATTGTATGGATAGACCACTTTTATTTATCCATTCCCACTTGATGGAAATCTGGGTTGTTCCTATTTTTTGATTATTACAAATAATGCAGCTATGAACATTTGTGTGCAAATTTTTATGAGTATATATGTTTTAAATTTTCTTAAGTATATATATCTAGGAGTGGAATTGCTGGGTCATGTGGTTACTCTGTGTTTAATCTTTTAAGGAACCACTATACTGTTTTCCAAAGCCATGACATCATTTTACATTCCCACCAGCATTGTCTGAGGGAATTTTTCCACATTCTCACTCAATGCATATTATTATCAGTCTTTCTTAACCTTTGTAGTGGGTGTGAAGTGGTATCTTATTGCTTTGATTTGCATTTCCCTATTGACGGAATGATGTTGAGCATCTTTTCATATGCTTCTAGGCCATTTGTATACCTTCACCAGAAAACTATTCAGATCCTTAACCCATTTAAAAATTGGGTTACATTTCTTTTTATTGTTGAGTTGTAATAGTTCTTTTTGTATTCTGGATACCAGATTTTTACCAGAGTTGCAAATATTTTCTCCCATTCTGTGGGTGGTTGTTCCACTTTCTTGATAGTATCCTTTGAAATACAAAAGTTTTTAATTTTGATAAAGTCTGTTTTTTTTTTGTTTTTTTTTTTAAGCAGAATTTATTGAGAGAACAGAAAAGCTCCCACAGTGAGAGGGGACCCAGAGGGGTTGCCCCTGTTTTTTTTCTTTAGTTGCTTGTGCTTTTGATGTTGTGTCTTAAGAAATCATTGCCTAATCCAGGTCAGGCAGATTTATGCCTGTGTTTTAAGAGTTTTATACTTTAGTTCTTTATTCATGTCTCTGATCTATTTTGAGTTAATTTTTGTACATGGTGTGAGGTGTGTTCAGTTTATTCTTTTGTGTATAGATAATCCAGTTGTCCCAGCACCATTTGTTGAACAGGCTACAGTTGACAGTAAATGTGAGAGTTTATTTCTTAACTCTTAATTCTATTTTATTGCTCTATAAGTCTATCTTTATGCCAGTATCACACTGTTTTGATTACAATAGTTTTATATTTAGGTTTGAAATTGGGAAGGGTGAGTTCTTTTTAAGACTGGTCTTTTTTGAGATTATTTTTGATCCCTTACATTTCCATATGGATTTAAGGATCTGCTTACCAATTTCTGCATAGAAGCCAGCTGGAATTTTCACAGGGAATGCATTGAATCTCTATATCAGTTTGGGAAATATTGCCATCTTACCAATATTAAATCTTCCAATCCATGAACATGGGATATTTTTCATTTATTTAGGTCTTTTTTAGTTACTTTCAGCAATCTTTTGTAGTTATCATACATTTTACTGTTTACACTTCTGTTAAATTTATTTCTAAGTATTTTATTATTTTTGATGCTATTATAAATGGACTTTTTTTGTAATTTAATTTTTGTATTGTTCATTGCAAGGGTGTGGAAATAAAATTGATTTTTTAATATTGATTTTGTGTCCTGCATTCTTCTTTTTTTTTTTTTTGAGTCAGGGTCTCACCCTGTCACCCATGCTGGAGTGCAGTGGCATAATCACAGCCACTGCAGTGGCAGCCTCAACCTCCTGGGTTCAGGTGATCTTCCCACCTCAGCCTCCCAAGTGACTGAAACTACAGGTGCATGCTGCCATGTTTGGCTAATTTTTTGATTTTTTTTTTTTTGTAGAGCCAAAGTCTTGCTATGTTGCCTAGGCTGGTCTTGAACGTTTGGGCTCAAGCAATCCTCCTGCCTCAGAGTGCTGGGATTACAGGTGTAAGCCACTGCACTTGGCTTGTATCCTACATTCTTGATGAACGTATTTATTAGTTTTAATTTTTTGTCGATTTTTAAATTTAAATTTAAATTTTTTGTTAGGGTTAGTTATTATCATAAGATTAGGGCTAGTTTTAGATTTAGGTTTAGAGTTAAAATTAAAATTAGAGTTAAGATTATGGTTAGGATTAGGACTTTCCTCAGGGTTAGGGCTAGTATTAGGTTTAGTTTTAGGAATATGGCTTGGATTACTGTTATGGTTAGGGTCAGAGCTAAGTTTAAGGCTATAGTTAAGGCTAGTGCTGGTGCTGGATTTAAGGTTAGGTTTAATGTTTGGGTTAGGCTAGAGTTAGGTTAGGGTTTGAAATGGCCTGGGGCTAGGTTTAGGGTTAGGGTTCAGGTTAGGCACTAAGTTTTTATGGCTAGGACAGGGTTAAGTTTTGGTTCAGCAAATATTTCTGTTTTTTTTTTTTTTCCCAACCATGAGATTTAATTTATTTTTTGTGATAGGAGGAATATTTATATATTTTAGTTGTCGAAATTTTAAGTTGGAGGTTATGCTCTAAGATCATGTAAAACCATAGCCCATGTACCCAAGTATTTTTCTGATGAGCTGTTTCTCTCCATAATAAAATGTATGGCTTTTGAAAAGGAAGTTTTAAAACACCTATATTGAGTTATTCTGTATTGAAAAGACTTTTAGACTTGTTAAAATGACATATAACAAAAATGTAGTTTGATTTTTATTTCAGAAATTAAACAATAAAATGTTGAAAGAAACAGGAGAAGAAAAGAAAGTTTATTTGAGAGAGTAGATCAGAGAAAAAGAGTGAATACACCTCTCCAAGATTTGGGGGGGGCAGATGCTTGAGGAACATTTGGCCTTATCGATTATTTAGGATTTTTTTTGTTTTCAAGATAATGTAGATAAGAGATACTGGAATGTCCTTTTGTTTTTTAGAGTGAGTTAGAGTCTCACTCTATCACCTAGACTGGAGTGCAGTGGCTGCTCCCTGCCACTGCAGCCTCAACCTGCTGGGCTCCCGATCCTTCCACCTCAGCCTTCCAAGTAGCTGGAACTACAGGCCTGCGCTATCTCACCCGGCTAATTTTTTTTCTTTTTGATTTATTGTAGAGATGAGGTCTCGCCAAGTTGCCCAGGCATGCCTTGAATCCGCGGCCTCAGGCAATCCACTCACCTCATCCTCCCAAAGCGCTGGGATTACAGGCTGAGCCACCAAGTCCAGCCTGGAATGTCTTTTTAATGAAAGAATAATGTGCTTCCTCTGGTTAACAATATCTCATTCTGTCCAGTAAAACTAAAGTAGCAGTCATATGAGAGCAGGCCTGGAGTTATTAGTGAAAATGTCTAGTCTTCTGGTTCTGGCCATTTGGTGGACTAAGTCAATGCAGACTTCTCTGTCTTTACCAACACATCCAAATGTGGCTAAATGATAGTTTAATCGCCCTTAATTTCATAACTCAGTAAAATTTCAAATCCTTTCTGTGGCCTACAGTAGGTCTGATGCCTCTCTGACCTTATCTCCTAACCACTTACCTCCTTATCCCTGACACACACAAACTGCACTGACCTTTTTGCTTTCCTCAGGTGTATCAGGCATACTCCTGTCTCATGATCTTTGCACTTGCTATTCTCCTTTTGTGGAATGTTTTTCCCCTAGCCAATCACATGGCTTGCCTCCTCACTTTTTTTAGGTTTCTTTTAAAGTGTCATCAGGGAAACCTTTCCTGGCTACCCTATATGAAATAACCCTTCCCCTTACCTCCCTAGTGCTCTCTTCCACTTGCCCTGCTTCCCTTTTTTCATAGAACATGTACTTATTACCTGACATATTGTGTACTTGTTTTGCATCTGTTGCCTTCTCTTCCCTATCTTCCTCCCATGCCTGTATCCTGCCCCAGGTAAACTTCTTGATGTCATGAATGTTGTCCATTTTGTTCACTGTTGTGTCTAGAATAGGGCCTGGATTATGAAAGATTCTCAATAAATGTTTGTTGAGTGAATGAACTTGAAGAAAGAGAAATCCTAAAGTACCAGAAATTTAGAGGGAAATCACAGTCTGAATGATATATTAGTAACCTGAGCCTGGGAAGTAGATCGGATGCAGATATAGGCCTTCATGCCTGGGTTCCAGGGCATAGACTAATCCCCACACGGAGACAGGAAACTTGTATGTAAATCTAGCTAAGAAATTATTGTAAAAGTCTCAGAAGTGAACATCTATGACAGAAATGTTTGTACAAACTAGGACACGTCTCATTCTCATAGATGACTAGTCTCTATTGAAGATAAACTCTTAATAAAAGATTACAAAGTATAGAAGGAATGAGCCACCTAGAGGGAGAGGGAGCAGACTCAGCAAACATGAAGATTACTATCCTAAGACTTTCTAGTGGGAAGTCTGAAAGAAGTTATAAAAAAAAGGCCTAAAATGATGAAGACACAAAGAGAGGGAATAGAAATCAGAATGAAAGAATAGGATACTATAAAGAAAGAACAGGCAGATGTAGAAAAGAACCAAATAGAACTGTACAAGTGAAAAATACAGTCACTGAAAACAAAATCTTCTTAGTCTAGTAGACATAGCTGAAGAGAATTTATGAACTGGAAGCTAGATCTGAGAAGGTTCGCCTGCCATGGTTTTACACCTGAAAATTTTACATGAAAAACTTTTATTTATTCCACTGATATTGGGGTGAGAGTTCTTCTGACTCATGTAAGAAAATTGCTAAGTCAAGTGAATGGCCTTTCTGACTGAGCCTTGCCACGTTTACTATGGTCAAAGTCTACAACATCCTGCTCTTTCTCTTTCTTAAAGGACAAGTCACCAGGATTTTCAGCTGAGAAATTTAAGAATAATTGAACCTAACGAGGTGATACCCTTAGGAGACGGAGGTGTGGAAACAGGTAATAATTTTGTCTGTAAATTAGATGGAACATTTTGAAAGGATTTTAGATCTCCCCATCCCAACTGCAAGTTGGGTGAGAAGAGAGGGTAAAGAATTAGTAATAGATCATAACTAGGATTGGGGGATTGATTATCAGGAAATTAAAAGCCATTCTGTTTTTTGACTTCCTGGATCGTCAGCTACTGTTTCCATTATATTTACTACTTTTTTTAAAGGTAGTAAGTTAGAGAATTATAGTATTTTTGCATTTCCCATTCTTGTGGTGATGGATGAGATAGGTTATTATTGAAAATGTGCTAGTTCAATTTTTCTAATCTTGTTCTCTATCTCTAATATAGTCCTTTGTTGGTTACCTGAGAAATTAGCTTCCACCTTTATTGTAATATTATGAAATGAGAAAGGTTTATCATATATTATTGTGCTTCTTAAATTGAGTGTGCATTTAGGAGAGCCTTTTTGGGAAAAGTTTCTGGGCCATCCCTTCTCCCTAGAACTGATTAGTGGTCTGATGGTTTGCCAGAAACCTGCATCTTTAAAATTTTTTATATTTTATTTTAAAGATGTGGGGTACAATTCAGGATTCACTGTATAAGTGGATATCATACAGGTGAAGTTTAGGCCTCCCTCTGGTCCCCACTTTGCCTGGTTTGAGGTCACGTTCTTTTTTTGTTGTTATGTGCCCTTACCCTCTACCTGGCCAGTATCCCGCTACTGCCAATCCCTTTTTTATAGTATTATGGTAAATGTTCAGGGTCCACTTATGAGTGAGAACATGTTTTCAGTTCTTTGTTTCTGTGATAGATCACTGAGTATTATAGACTCTAAATCTGCCCAAGTTGCTGCAAAGTCCATATGCTTGTCCTTCTTTATGTTTACATAATATTCCGTCATGTATATGTACCACATTTATTTATCCAGTCCAGTTTCAGTGGGCAGCATGATTGGTTCCATGTTTTTGCTATTGTGAATAGTGCTGCAATAAACATACATGTGCAGTAATCTTTTTAGCAGATTGATTTGAATTCCTCTGCGTATATTCCCAGTAGGAGGATTGCTGGCCATATGGAAGGTCAAGTTCTAGTTCTTTTAGAAATTGCTGCAGTGTTTTTGTAGAAGTTGAACTAGTTTGCATTCCCACCACCAGTGTAGAAGCATTCCCTTTTCTCTGCATCCTTGCCAGCATCTGTTGTTTTTTTGTTTTATTAATGATGGTGGGGTTAGGTGGTTTCTCAATGTGGTTTTAATTTGCATTTTTCTGATGATTAGTGAGGCTGAGCACCTTTTCATGTGTCTGTTGGCTTCCTCTATATTTTCTTTAGAGAAGTGTCTATTCGTGTCTTTTGCCCAGCTTTTTAACGGGGCTGTTTGTTTTTTCCTTTCGGCACTTTTGAGTTCCTTGTAGATTCTGGATGTTAGGCCTTTGTCAGATATACAGTTGGCAAATATTTTTTTCCATTCTGTGGGCTGCCTCCCCACTCTCTTGACGGTTTCTTTTGTTGCAGAAGATTTTCAGTTTAATGAGGTCCCACTTGTCTATCTTATATCTTATGGCATGGATACCTGGGGTTTTGATCAGGAATTGGTTGCCTATTCTGATTTCTGTAAGGGTGTCTCCTACTTTTTCTAAGATTCTTATAGTTTGAGGTTTTACATTTAGGTCTTTGATCCATTTAGAGTTTATTTTTGTGTATGGTGATAGGTAGGGGGTCCTATTTCAATCTTCTGCATATGGTTAGCCAGTTTTCCCAGCACCATTTACTGAATAGGTTCTTCTCTCCCCAGTGGTTATTGGTGGAGGCTTTGTCGAAGATGAGTTGGTTGAGAAATTGAGGTTTGCTTCCGGAGTCTCTGTCCTGTTTCATTGGTTCATATGCCTGTTCTTGTACTAATACCAGGCTGTTTTGATTATTGTAGCCTTATAGGAAAGTTTAAAGTCTGGAAGTGTGATACCTTCTCCTTTGTTTCTTCTGCTAAGGTTTGTTTTGGCTATTCGTGGTCATTTATGTTTCCATATAAATTTCTGTATTGTCATTTCCAGGTCTTAGGAGAATGATGTTGGTAATTTAATGAGTATTGTGCTGAATCTGTAGATTGCGTTTGGTAGGATCAACACCTTAACAATGTTGATTCGCCTATCCATGAGCATGGAATATTTTTCCATTTGTTTGCATCTTCTTGTATTTCTTTGAGCAGTGCTTTGTACTTTTCATTGTAAAGGTCTTTCACTTCTCTGGTTAGGAAACCAAGGTATTTCTTTTTCTTTTCTTTTTTTTTGTGGCTAATGTGAATGGGATTGTGTCTTTTATTTGGTTCTCTACCTGTTTGCTGTTGGTGTTTAAGAGTGCAACTGTCTTTTGTCCCTGAGACTTTGCCAAAGTCTTTTGTCAGTGCAAGGAGGAGAAGGCTGCATTTTGAAAAGTGGTGTATTACTGCATTTCTATCCTATGCAAGCCAGTGCTTTTTTATGTACTACTGAGGAGAACCCAGACCGTTTTTAGCTGACTAAAACATTGATCCCTTGAAAAACATAAGAAACCATGCCTATCTATTCTGTCTTTGGAAGATTAGTGCTATAATTGTATGCAATTTTAGGTCCTTTTTCTTTAAAAAATATATATGTCTAACACATTTTGGTCCATATTAGGAGGCAGGGGAGGAAGGAGGAAAAAGAAATAGGAAAAAGAGGAAGTAAAGAAAGAGAAAAAGGTGATAAAATTATTACATTTAGAGTTGAAATATAACTTTTTTTTTTTTTAAATGTATGAGGAAATAGAGGTTAGGGAGCTTCAGTTGTCTGAGGTTGTAGATGCCAGCTGGAAACTGGAGCTCACTTGTTTTGCTTCTGTTAGTCTTAGAACACTTTAAGCCTCTATTATGTCCCCTAGGTAATATGGTGTAATAGAGCATAGACTTGGGAATTGGCTAGACCTTGGGTCCTGGTTCCTGATGATCCAGCTGACTTGGGCAAGTACTTAACTCCTTTTAACCCTTGTTTATTTATGTGTAAAATGGGAATAGTGAAACATTCCTTGGAGGGTTATTGAGAGAATTAGCCACTAATGTATGTAAAACCCTTGGCTTTCCCTTAGCTGTGGAACAGAGAAACGAACTACCACCTCTACGGCTATTGATGCTGGTAGAGCAACTGTGCATGTGTTAAGATGCTGAAATTGGAGTAAACCACCCCCTTCTATTCTTATAACAAGACATGTGGGAATCTCAGCGGGTGTTTCAGATCCAGATTCAAATATTTCTTGAGCTCCTACAGTGTATTAAACGCTGTGCCTGGGGCTTTCACACATGTCATCAGGTTTAATTTGCCTAGCCACCCATTGAGGTAAGTATGGTGTACTTTTCATGTACAGTCAATAAAAAGTTTAGTATATGATGCAGGCTGAAGGTTTGGGAACTTATTTTGAAAATGCTTGCGGCATCCGCAAGCGACTTAAGTGAGTCGTTCTCTTTAAGACATGATTTAAACATGTCTGGCAGTTGATGGGCTAATGTTTCATCTTGGACTAGACCTGTTGCTCTTGGCTTCTCACTTTCTTGCACACTGTGCTTAGCTCTTGGCTGTCTCTAACATTTCTGAAAAGTAATGTGTTGTAGAATGAGATGTTATAATACAGCATTTTCTAAGATCCTACCTTTATTCTTTCACAGAAAATTCATCACTGTTTATTATGTTAGATCTGAAAAGATTATAGACACAATGTTGTGGGATTCATTTAGCCTATCTTTGAGCATATGTATATGTTAGGTGTTAGACTAGAGACATGGATAAAGAGATGACATGGTCCTTGCCTTAAGGAGAAGCAGTATGCACATCTTATACACCTTTTACCATGATGCAGTTATGGTGAGTTAGTTGTGTACCTAACTCAACTGCAAACACTTACATTTGCCATGTGGCAGGCACTGTTTCTAAGTGTTTTACATGTAGTAACTCATTTGCTCCTCAAAAGTTACTCTATGAGTATCAGCCACGACTTTTACTTCCTCCATCTTGGCTGCCTTTTCAACTGCTGCCACCTCAATAGCTGGAACTTATATTTGCACCAGTTTTGTCCTCTCCTCAGCTCTGGCTGCTCACCCATTCATTCAGTTACTTTCATCACCTGTTGTTCTTGTGGCCACAGCTGCCTCAGCCACCATTGCCCACTGTGTTCATCTCAGTGGTAGCTGCCTCCATTGCCACAGCCCATTGCCTCAGCCACTGCTTGTTGCTATCTTCTCTGCCTTTATTGTTGCTGTCCTTTACCACATCCTGATTGTTAGTTGTGATATTGGGAGTTCTTTCATCATGTCTGATATTGGTGATAAAGAAGTGACTGCACTTGACCAAGGACACCAATCAAATGTGATAAGCATGAAGGATGAGGAAGAAGAAAGAGGGAAGGTGTTCGAGTGGTGATGGGGACAGGTGGCATTGTGGAGGGAAGTGTGAAAATGCCACTTTAGTAGAGTATTGCTGATGGTTCTGAGTAGGCCTAAGGTTCTAGTCAAGAGGAGGAATGTGATAGTGATGGGGTTGGAATATGGTGCCGAGGGGAGGGTTATGGTGACAAGTAAGCAGAGGATGTCTTTGACCAGACCCACTTTGCCTTTGTAGGTTTTGAGCATGTGATTGAAGATTTTCTGCTTGCCATTGGTTATGTTGACCTTACTGATGTACTTTTAGTAGCTGATGAACTTTTAGTATTGATGAATTTTTAGTAATTGTTTATAATACTAAAAACCTAGTCAATGCCATCAAAATCCTAAGTCAGAATGTACCTAAATAGAAGCCAAATTCTATAAGGGAATTAATGATCTTGTAAGAGAGTATATGAGAATGTATCATATATTTGCTTTTTAAAATTCCAGAGGCCCGACTGCACTTCAGACCAACTAAAGCAGAAGTTCCCCAGTTATTTCTAATGTGCAGCCAAGGTTGAAATATTACTCCTAAAGAAGTCTTCATTTTTGCTTGACTATTTTTAAGAATGCTAATTTGTTTAGAAATATGGTTTGAGAACATGATAAATATATTCTGAAGTTCCTGAAGATATCGGAGTAAAATTCCTAATGCTGGCAAGCTCATGAGGTCGCAGTAGGCTTCATTTTGAACCCAATGGAAGTGCTGACATATAAACTTAGATCAGACCAGATACTTCTCATCCCTCTTTCTTTGATAGGTGAGAAATTATAGGTTCAGTAGATTAGACAAAAGGAAATGACAGCTGGGTATGGTGGTGTGTGCCGGTAATCCCAGCTATTCTAGAAACTGAGGTAGGAGGATTGCTTGAACCCAGGAATTCAAGTCCAGCCTGGGCAACAAAGTAAGACCCTGTCTCTCTTAGGAAAAAGAAAAGAATGAACAGTATTCAGAAGGAACTGTAAAGCAAGGGACATGAATGTCCTTGACTCATGAGTAGGATGGTTTCCATTGACTCTGTGAGTACGTCTGTTCTTCTGAGACTCCCGAGGTGGTGCCCTGAAACTATTGCTGAAGTTGCCCTTACTGCAGATGATGAGTGGGGTGCTCTTTCAGTGAGTCTTAAGATCAGTATGGTACCTCATAGGGTTCTACTGGATATAGCCGTAACAAGCCCAAGGTGTTGATGTTGGCAAAGGAGGAGAAGCAAATGGATATGTTAAATTAGAAAAAGGACCAATAAAAAGGTTTATAACCAGCAGGGTATAAGCCACAGAGAGAGGATGTCAATCCTTGAAGATAACCTGATATAATTGCCCCGATTTAACTCTCCATTACCTACAGCATTGTGCATTAGCACGTTTTTGGTTGTCTTTTTAAATTTGTTTAAAAAATAAGATGGCAAACTCCAAAACACTGATAACATCAAGTGCTAGCAAGGATGTGGAGCAATAAGAACACTCATTCATTGCTGATGGAAATGCAAAATGATAGAACCACTTTCGAAGATGTTTGGCAGTTTCTTACACAACTAAACAAACTCTTATCATCCAATCCAGCAGTCATACTCCTTGGCATTTTATACAAATGAGTTGAAATCTTACGTCCACACAAAAACTACACACAGATATTTATAGAATGTTTACTCATAATTACTGGAACTTGGAAATAACCAAGATATCCTTCAGCAGGTGAACAGATAAATAAACTGTGGTACTTCTAGACAATGGGATATTATTCAGGGCTAAAGAAATGAGCTATCAATCCATGAAAAGACATGGAGGGACCTTAAATGCATATTACTAAGTAAAAGAAGCCAATCTGAAGACTACATATTGCATGATTCCAACTGTATGACATTCTAGAAGAGGCAAAACTATGGAGATTGTAGAAAAGATCAGTTATTGTTAGGGGTTGGAGGAGGGGGGAAGAGATGAATATACTGTATGCACATGGAAAATTTTTAGGGCAATGAAAGTACTATGTATGATATTATAATGGTGGATACATGTCATTATGCATTTGTCAAAAACCCATAGACTGTATAACACCACGAGTGAACTCAAGAGAGACTTTGGATGATAATGATGCGTTAATGTAGGTTCATCCGTTGTAACAGACGTATCACTCTGGTGGGGGATGTTGATAGTTGGGAAGGCTGTGGTGTGTTGGGGCAGTTGGTGTATGGGGATTCTCTGTACTTTCTGCTCAAACTAGCTGTGAACCTATAACTGCTCTAAAAAATAAAGCCTATTAAAGTGAGTTGGAAAAACTCATTATGCTACTTCAAATTTTAATAGTATAATTTTGTGCCAGTATGTGGGATGTAGTAAAGTATGCATGATCATTATTCTGTAATTGGTTTCTTGTGAAGTTGTTTTGTTGTGTAGCCATAGGATGATAGCTATGATGTTTGTCAGAACATTAACTGATATTGATATTTGTTGAGAAAGGGACTTTTTGGAGAACCAGCTAAAGTGGTTAAGTCAGCTGCATCATTTGTGCCTTCACCACATAGAAGTAGAGTCTCTTGTACTTATTAGGAAGCAATGCTCTTTTGGTTTTGACTACTTAAAATTTGTGAGAGTTTAAGAATTTCTAGTAGGACCATATTTAATGTCCCTAACATTTTCATATTTCTATTATTTTGTATTTTTTAAAACTGATGACTCCAGCTCTGGTTTTATTAGGATGAAAGACTCCCTTGGACCCCTGGTATTTCTTGGGGTTCAGTTTGAAAACACCCACCATACTTTAGAGAGGAGAGCACAGAGCACTGAGGCCCTGGTCCCCTTCTTCCTTGTACAGCTGGTTATTAGCAGGTATTCACCAGAGCATAAGACTTTTGGCTCCTAGTGATTGATCTTTCTTCTCCCTATCTGTGGTTGACTATTTAACAAAAGGTTTATAAAACATACTTCTTTTGAGGCAAACTGAAAAAGCAGAAAAAATAATAATAAGAAGAAAATAATCACTCTAATTTACCTATCCAAAGGTAACCACTATTAACACTTGGGTGACTGTTTTTTTTTTTCCTGGAAACTTCACTTGGCATGTGCACATACACAGTTTTAAATAAGAACAATCCAGATGTGTTCTTTCATAATCTGTTTTTACTCATCCATCAGTGGTGTCTGGACATTATAGTATACTATTATATATATTATAGTGTATTTAACTGATAATGTATTGCTCTTCCATTTTTTACTACTATAAGTAAACACCTATATTTTTGTGTACTTGTGTAATTATCTCTTTAGAATAAAGTCTTAGAAGTGAAAGAGGTAACCAGTCAATTTAGAAATGGTTAGTGGCTAAACTTTTCTTGCCACAAATGGCTGTTTGGAAGTAGTATTTAATAACTGTAAACATGAGTGTTTCTGGCAGCTTTGGGCTTCGTCTGGTGGTGGGGTGGTCAGTTTGAAGATGCAGCTGAAGGTGAGCAGAATATGAAAGGCACTTTGTATGGCTCTGTTTGAACTGGTCATTGAACTGCAGGGGCAGACTGCTTTTGGAACAAACTCTCCTATTGTTGCAGACAGCAGAATGCCTCCAAAGGTGACTTCGGAGCTGCTTAGGCAGCTGAGACAAGCCATGAGGAGCTCTGAGTATGTGACAGAACCAATCCAGGCCTACATCATCCCATCAGGAGATGCTCACCAGGTACTGAGTGGAGGTGGGCTGGTGATGGAGCTTATCAGCCTCCCCTTTCTTTTCAGTCTTTCTCCCCAGCCCTAATGTGTTTGTAAAATTCTAGCTGTCAACCCATAACCAAGCACATCTTCCAGTAACTGTGCCCAATAGGGATTTGTGTCCAATAGGGTCTCATTGAATGCTCATACATTTGGCGTGGCTTCCTTGTTTCCAAATGAATTTAGCCAGCTTGCGATAAACTGTGGAAGAATTAGGGCAAATTAAGGGGCAGAAGTCCTGGACCTTTCTGTTGCTGACATATTCTATCCCATCTCATCTGCCACGTCCTGTCCCTCGCAGAAATTGTCTGCCCTGCCTCCCTTCTGATCATCCATGAGAGTTGGGTTTGGTGAGGTAGAGACCTCATGTAATAGGACGGGTGGGCAGAAGGATGAAATAATTCTGCGATCAGGTCAGCAAGTGCTTCCACGGTGGTCATGGTACTATAGGGTTACAAAGAAGAATTCAGGATTGAATATCCAAACTCATTGTGGTTACAAAGTGCTATTTTTCCATAAAGTCATCTATAGATACATTTTTTCCATCCTTTGCTTATGTGCAAGGTACTACCTACCTTAGGTATTAGACAGGATACAAAGATGAGAATTGTTTTTGCTTTCAAGAAGCATACAATTTAGTGATGGAGTTAATGTTAGAATCCGAATAGGGTGAAGGTGGATGGTGAGGTGGAGAGGTGAAGGGAGAGGGAAGGCACGGCACCGGTAATCCAGAGATCCGAGTAAATGCGAAGAATTGCAACACACAAAGGTTAAAAAAAAAGTTTATTTAAAAGTAAATTACGGGCTGGGCTCGGTGGCTCAGCCTGTAATCTCAGCACTTTGGGAGGCTGAGGTGAGTGGATTGCCTGAGCCCGCGGGTTCGAGACCCGCCTGGGCAACTTCACAAGACCTCATCTCTACAATAAATAAAAAATCAGCCAGGTGTGGTAGCACGTGCCTGTAGTTCCAGCTTCTTGGAAGGCTGAGGCAGAAGGATCGCCGGAGCCCAGCAGGTCGAGGCAGCGGTGGTCGGGAGCGGCCATTGCACTCCAGTCTGGGTGATAGAGTGAGACTCCAACTCAAAAAAAAAAAAAGCATTACAGAGAGAAAGAGAAGGGAGAGAGAAGATTTACCTCCCCAAGGTGGGGGAGGGAGCCAAAGCCAGGAAGCATGGCTCAAAGAGCACATGGCCACACCAGAGTCTAGCAAGGCAATGGCTACTTTTAACCATTCCCCTAGATGGGGGAGGATCATTAAGGTGATTGGGTGGTGGACTGCTCCATGTCATCACAAAAGGGCAGGCAAGTGTAAATACTGACATCAGGTGATAAACAGCAGGCACACGGGTGGGTTAGTCATATGATTGCTGCCATGGTGGGGTTTATTCATGTTAAATAGGTCACAAAGGGCTGATTAGGTTAACCCTGGCTTTGGCTCCCTCCCTCACCTTGGGGAGGTAAATCTTCTCTGGGGTGGGAGGGTTTCCTGCAAGAGACTTGTTAGACATTTGCAATTCACAAACTCAGATATTGGCAACTCACAAACTCATTGACCAAAGGTGGGCATATTATTGCTTTTATGACTTTGGCCAGCCAAGGGGTGATCTTTGATCTTCAGCTTTGACAAGGAACCAAAAAATTTACTAAAGATTATTATGCTAAACCATGAATGGTTGGGCTGTCCTGGTCTTGCATTTGAAAATTTGCTGAGGGGGATGGGATGGGATTGGCTGCTTGTTCTGCAGTAGAATGTCTGAACTCTTTCTAATGGTTATGCTGAGGCAAAAAGACTAAACCCTTTCAGTTAACATGTACATACAGATATCTGTATTGCAAGGTAGAATGTGGTAAGTGCTATCAAGAAAATGGGGTCAGAGGACTGTGGAAGTTTGAGAGTGAGAGGGGAGAATGATGGAGGGCCTCCTGGTGCAGGGGAAACATTTGAACTGGATCTTGAAGGATGGGTGTAATTTGGGTAAATAGAGGAAGTGGGTGGGAAAGGAGAGAAGGGGTTATATAGGTATGGGTATTAGTAGGAACAAAGGCAGAGAAGCAGGGAAGCTTTTCAGACACAATCGGTGAGTTTCCCTGGCAATAGCCCAGGGAAGTAAAAAGCAATACCAGGAAATAACGTTGGGGTTCTAGAATTTTTCAATTGCAGGTAACAGAAACTGCCTTGAGGTACCTTGAGCAATAAAAACACTATAAGGGTTTAGGGGCAGAGCTCCTGCATTGATACAACTTCAGGTTGTGGGTGGTACCCTCAGAGTTATACATGTTAGGGCCTCAGATGGGATGTCTTGTGGAACCTGAGGGCAGGAATGCAGCTGGCCCTCGAAAAGAACTAGAATGATGGCAGGGTTTTCAGCTTTTGCCACATATCAGTTTCTCTTTTCTCATATGACAGGGTAGATAGTATAAATCTGGCAACTCCTACATTTACATTTCTTTATCTTTATCAGGAAGCATGGCGACAGCCATAGCTCAAAGAACACGTGGCCACACCAGAGTCTAGCAAGGCAAAGACCCTTGGTTGCTTGTGGTTGAGTCCTTTTAACCATTCCCCTAGATGGGAATCAAGATACCAGATTGAGCTAGAACCTTAATCCCAGATCCAGAGTCTTGGGTAAGAGCTTAATTGGCGTAGCAGGTTGGTCCTCCTGTTCATTCCTGGTTACTCTCTGTGTGTGTGAATGTGTGTGTGTGACATCATGTGGTACAGACATGAGTGATGGGAGTCTTCTGTGATGTTTGGGGTATTGTCATGAGCTCAGCAAAGATCCTAAGAGATGTCCACTGTAGCTGACTTTCTTTCTGTCCCTTCCCAGATGTCCTCAGGAGCAAATAAAGGACTGAAATGAATAAACAAAGGGATCAGATGATTTGAGGCAACAGACTCAAGTCAAATTTAGAATACTTTGATATTTAGAACATTGTTCCCCAAACTGTATTCTATAGCATTCCTGTTGTGGCTTGTAAGATGCTTTGTAAAAAATGTATTCTGTGGTCAAGAGAATAGTGAAATGAGCTGAACAGTTTTTTTTAATTGTGGTAAAATGGATATAACATGAAACTTACCATTATAAGCATTTAAAAATATGCAGTTAACTGTATGCACACATTATTGTGTAATAGATTTCTAGAACTTTTCATTTTGCAGAACTGAAATTCTATACACATTAAACAAGTCCTCCAGGTTTCTCTTCTCTCTCCTTTTGGCCACCATTCTACTTTGTGTTTCTAAGAATTTGACTATGTTAGATACTGCATGTAACTGGAATCATGCAGTATTTGTCTTTTTATAACTAGCTTATTTCACTTAGCACAGTGTCCTTAAATCTTATCCATATTGTAGCATAGAACAGGATTTCTTTCTTTTTAAGACTGAATATTATCCATTATGTGCAGGTATTATGGTTTCTGCATCTGGACATCTGCTGGTGGACATTTAGTTTACTTCATATCTTGGCTACTGTGAATAATGCTGCAGTGAGCATGGGCTTGCAAATTTATCTCTTTGAGATCTTGTTTTCAGTTCTTTTGGATATATACCTGGAAGTGAGATTGCCAAATCATATGGAAATTCTATTTTTAATTTTTTGAGGAACTTCCATACTGTTTTCTATAGCAACTGTGCTATTTTACATTCCTACTGATAGTGTACAGGGTTTCATTTTTTCCACATTCTCCCCAACACTCGCTATTTTTTGTTTTGTTAGTGATCATCTTAGTGGATGTGAGGTGATATCTCATTGTAGATTAGATTTGCATCGCCTATTGATTAGTGACGAGGATCATGTTTTCATATGCTTGTTGGCCATTTGTATATTTTCTTTGGAGAAATGTCCATTCAAGTCCTTTACCCATTTGACAGTTTCTTAACTGTAGGACTTCTCAGGGCCTTTAATATATTGATGTGCACCGAATACCTCTAAGGAGAGGATAAAGTATTCAGCATTTACCAGATTTAAATGTCCATGGAATTCTCCTAGTCATCTCAGGAATGAGGTAGGGAACTCTAGTGTTCTGTGGAATGCCTTTGTCTATTGTTCCACAGTAGCACTTTTTATACCTTGATGGGTCTTGCATTTAGAGGTGGATGAAAGAGGAGGTGAGAGAGCATAAGGTGTGTTCAGCACTAGACTGGATGTTCAACCTGGCTGAGTATAGGAAAAGCAGGAGAACAAGCTGCAAAGGGGGTAGTGGCATGTGAGAAAGCAGTGGAGGCTGGGCACATTAATGTTAGACTGAGTAGGCAGTAGGCAGGTGAGGAAAGACTGGTGGAGGTTTGGTAATGAAATCCTTCCATTCATCTGTTTCCCACTGGAACCAAAGTATTCATCTTGACTAAGGACTACATGAGTAAGAAGGCTGACCAACATGGCTTGGACCTGAATTATGGTAGGAGTCATAGTAGCAGAGGAGCAAGGCATCTTCCACTCTGCCCCCAATTTAAGAAGGACAGACCCTTGCCTTGTTCTCAAGGATTTCTTTTTTCTTCTGTTTGGGCCCCTTTGATGAGCTCTTCCTTGCTTCTTGTCAGTTCCAGGCCTCAGCTTTTGGCCTTGGGCTTTAGGTCACATGGATTCTCTGCTGAATTCACTGTTGCCATTCAAGTGTTGGTTGGTTGGCCTAGGCTGATTTGATTGCAGTCACCCTATCTCAGTATTGAGAAGGTTGGTGGTTTCTGTGACTGGAGCATACAATGTAGCAGTTGGTTTGGTATGGTCTGTTCGTTCCCTGACACTGTTGTTTGAAAGTGGGGCTTTCCTCTGAATGTGTTCTCACATGCTGTCATGGAGTCCTAGATAAAGACTCCTGATAGCTCCACTATATTTGCGAACCTTCATTCCTGGGGAAGCCTCATTCTACAGAAAGATTTCACCTTTTAGTGTTACTCGAATTAACAGTTGAAGGTTTCTGGTTAAAGGTGTCTTAGAATCTTTGTAGTCCTTGTATTTCAGTGTCGATT